GTTCTTCTGTGTTGTTTGTATGAGATAAATCCAGGAGTGGGCTGCTGGGGGTTCTCAGGGGTTTGGGAGAACCTCTAGCTAAGTTTCTGTGCAGTTCAGAGAACCGCCAAATCTCATTCCTGGCTGGCCCTGCCCATCCCACCCTGCCCCTCCCAGGAATCCCCATCCAGCCTGTTTTGGATGCAGGTAAGTGCAGAGCACACACGGAGGCTTGGGGAGGGCAAAAAACAGGTCTACCAGAAGTTCAGGAAGGCCTCCAGAACCTGGGGAGGCTGTTTTTGCCCTCCTGGAGGCTCAAGGAAAGACGGAAGGGCAAAAATGCCCCCTCCCCTGCCGTGGTGCAGGAGGCTGACTAGGCCATGCCCACCATGGCCACACCCACCCAGGAACCCCTTGCTAAAATTTTTGAAGCCCACCCCTGGATAAATCCCACAACTGCATTCACAGGTTACGGTCCATCGTTAGAGGAGTTGAGATATAGTTCAGCACAGAACCTATGTTTTGTTTCTGATGTATTTTTTTAAAAATAACAATTGATTTTATACATAAATAAAATGTACATCTGTATAGAAGGGAAGCTGTAATCTGGTTTGCATTGCATTACTGAAAGTCTGTTCTTTCCTAATTTATTCCTTAAAGTTTTTGTACATAGCAGTTACTAGAATTTTAAAGTAAAAAAAAAAACCCATAAAAATAGTATTTAGGGAAATAAAAGAATCCCAAAGCATAGCCTTCATCTATTTTACAGTCAAGTTATAAAAAGGGGAAATGAAGAAGTTCAAAAAGGAGCGTTTGTTAAAATCTGTTCAGAAACTTAATTAAATGCTTAAAAAAACAGAAATATTATATGCATAATATTTCTAGTGTCTGAATTAGAACTGTTTTTGTGCTGAAAAAAAAAAGGCTAAATGCTTATCTGTAGCACCACAGTGGAGTGAGCAGCAAAACATTTGGGCAAGACAAAAACCTTGTTCTATCCACACCAGTATGTGGCAGAGGTAATTTCCTGTTAAAGTCAATGCTTACTTGTTTATCATTATTAGATTCTTATCATAACTGCAATCAAGCTCACCCAGAAAAAGGACAAAAAAAAAAAAAAAAGGAGTGTCCATAAACGGGAAGGTAGAGTAATAGAGCTCAGAATGGCTTTAGCATTTCAGTTTAAAGCACAAAAACTAATAATTCATCAAGTCCTTCTTTCTTGATTCTCCTGATGGACATTTGTTTTGATGGATAAACAGCACACATTGGATCACTTCAATTAATGCTAGCATTTAGAAAGATCTACATAACAATCTTTATTACTTCTTATAGGTATTTGCTTTTTTTCTCCTCCAAGTTCTATCTAATTTTACCTTCAGATAACAAGCTTAGAAGATAGTGTAGAATAGTATAGGCTTAGAGCAGTGGTGGGTTGCCCCCGGTTCGCACCAGTTCTATAGAACTGGTAGTAAAACCGGTGGGAGACTCTGCCCACTGATCCCAACATCATCAGAATCCTTTTGCGCATGCACAGAAGAGCGTGCGTGCGCACGTGCGAGCAAAGCGAGCGCATGCGCATGGCCCCATTGCGAACTGGTAGTAAAGGTAAGTAGAATCCACCCTTGGTTTAGAGCATAGAGTCGGGGCCGGTGGGCAGGGCGGGTGGGCAGGGCAGGTGGGCATGGCGGACCCACCTGCGATTTCCGTTACCAGTTCACCTGAACCGGTCCAAACCGGCTGAATACCACCTCTGGTTTAAAGAGATTAAATAGCCCAAAATCATCCTGTATCACATTCCACGAGAAGCAAACCTAGCTTTACCCAGTTCTAGTTCAGTATTTTAACCATTGGATATCTAAAAAGTAATAGCTTTTGAGTAGGCCATTCAAGCTTACTCAATCTAGCTCTCTGTTCAGTGCAAGACTTCAAATTTAAAAACTCCCTGAGATATGGCTTGTACTTGTACATGCTAAGGAAGATGCCATTAGTTCCTTGTGCAATTATTTCCAACACTGAATTGTTTTTATGGTTAGGTTATATTTATGGTTACATTTAAAGTTTAATGTAACTTTAATTCAAATATGCCTTTAGATTGAAATAATTTAATATCTATCATTCTGGTTTTCCACCCTGGAATGAAAGAAAATTCCTCCTTGTACCTGTCCTTCCTTCCTTCCTTCCTTCCTTCCTTCCTTCCTTCCTTCCTTCCTTCCTTCCTTCCTTCCTTCCTCTCTTTCTCTCTGTCTCCCTCCCTCCCTTCCTTTTTCTTTCATTTAATTACCATTTCTACTTCTTTGACAGGAACAGAATGAAGCTATTTCCTAGATCCCCCCTCCTCCTGTCATGTTGGTGAACTGATTGCCAGAAGTATAATAAACTTCACCAAAACAATTTGTAAATCCACTTTTATTTACGAGATTTGAACATGTTGATTTGGTCATGCTGATTTTCTGAATATTCTAGTTTATGGCATGCCACACTGTTAACAGGTATCAGTTACATTTTGAAAAGCAAATAAATGCTGACTTGAAAGAGTATGACTCTTAAATCCAACAATCTGCAGAGTATCGGGATAATTAAAGCTCCTATATAATTATATTTGTATGCAATTTGAACAATTGGCTTCAATAGTTTGACTGAAGTGAAAACTAAAGAAAAAGCTATAGTTATGCCCTGTTTATACAGAAGAAACAATCAACAAATGTCTCGGTGGTTCATGAACATTTCATAATGTATGGGCTCTTATTTATCCTACAGACTTGAGTCAGGTCCTTGAACTGTCAGTTCAGTGTTAAAGCTTTCCTGACATAGTCTTAAAATAATGGGACATAAAGTCACTTTAATGTATCAGTGGGGTGCAGGTTCCTGTTTACTGCATATATAGATGGTTGTTTAGTTTTGCATATATAACGGGGCGGGAGGAAATACAATTTAAGGGTAGGAGGACAATACAATAGACAAAGAAATATGCTACCAACAAATTACTTCTTTTAACCATAAACTCAATTTAAGCTTCCTAAAATTCATGTTTGATGCTAAATAGTTTTATGGGAAAGTCAGATATGAAAAGACACATGCTATTTGGAAACTCAACCTTCCCAAGAATCTGGCCATGATTTACAACAAATATTTCAAAAGTTGATATGTGCATAGATGAAAAGTTTCAATTCGTAGTCAACTGCAAGAGATTTCCTCAGGGTCTTTGAGGTGGGATGGGGAGATCACTCTGTCTCCCTACCCTTTCCAGTCCTGATACTTAGCAATAGCAATAGCACTTAGACTTATATACCGTTTCACAGCGCTTTGCATTCCTCTCTAAGCGATTTACAGAGTCAGCATATTACCCCCAATAATCTGGGTCATCATTTTATTTACCTCGGAAGGATAGAAGGCTGAGCCGGTGACAATCGAACTGCCGAACTGCAGGCAGCTGGCAGTCAGCAGAAGTAGCCTGCAGTACTGCATTCTAACCATTGTGCTACCACAGCTCACTTCATAAGCTTCTTCTGTAACCAAGCTTCTTTATGTACACCCAAAATGGGGCTGTTAACTCTAATAATATAATTCATGTGTTTTCTATTATGGACTCAGCCCATCCATTTGCAATTTCATTGGATATACTGAAATAGGAATCAGTTACCCCAAAGTACAGCCCTCTAACTGTATGAACTGTATGAACAGTCCCTGAACCAAAATCTTGATCCAAAGCAATCTTGGTCTGAAGAATTTTCATTTGGGGGGGGGAGAGGGAGAGGGAGATGATAGAGATAGAGATAGAGATAGAGATAGAGATAGAGATAGAGATAGAGATAGAGATAGATGGAGATGGAGATGGAGATGGAGATGGAGATGGAGATGGAGGGAGGGAGGGAGGGGGAGAGAGAGAGAGAGGGGGAGGGGGGGGGAGAGAGGGAGGGAGGGAGGGAGGGAGAGAGATGTTTTTGCAATTTAAACTTTTCCTGACAAGGGAAATATATGATAGAAATAACTTTTAATATACATTTTTACTTAATTTCTATATGTTATTATTTTTCACCCAAGGCAAAAGAACAGGATTCATAAAAAGAAAAAAAAATAACAATAGTATATTGTTGTTATCTGAAAAAGCAACCTTCTACTTCTTTCAAGCAGTTACCACCATGCATGGCCACAGATACCCAGATGGGTGCCTTATTGTTCCGCCCAGTATACATTGTGGTGCCATTTGCAAAGTGTGTAATGATACCTCATAAAATAAATCTGAATGTGCTTATTTTTGAAGAATCGCATGGCAGGGAGTTGTTGGTATGTGGATGATTGCTTTTCCTTTAGAAATGTACATTTCCTGCCACTTAATATGATAGATAACAGCAAAGGTCGTACACTGTCAGGAGGAGATATAAATTTGGAGGTCCTATTTAAAATTAATAAATGGTTTATGTCTCAGAGGTGAGCAGTCACAGAGTAGCTATTGAACCTTTGAATGCTAATGCATCTTCCTTCCCCTTCTATGTAACTTTGGCTAGAGGGATACGTTTGTAGGATTGCCTTTTCATCCGTCCATGTAAAGATGTCTGTTTGCCAGTATTTATATCTCCTTGTGTCTGTTTTAATTGCAGCTAATTATAGATGCTGTGCATGACTTCAGTTCATGTAAAGCATGAGTTAACTGAATATTTAAAGACAGCAAAAGGAGTAGAAAGCTAAGGGTATGATATCATTGACATTCACTTCTATCACCTAGAAACGTGTAAATCACAAGATCCAGTTATTTTAAACGGGATCAGTTAGACTGTCTGTAAATTTAAGATAGTAAGAATGCTGCTTTTTTTAACATGTAGACTCATTTCTAGGTCTCATCAAGGAATAAATATTGCCAATTATAGACCTTATGGTACATAAATAATGGTTTTTTTAAAAAAAAAAACCCATGTATAAAATATAGTATGTAATTTATTTGTCTACAATTTTGAAATGAAAATTTATGAATAGTTGTCATTATAGCAGTTTTTCTTTTATTAAGAGTGACAAAATCTTACCACCATGCTACTCAGCTGACTTCTTGTGAGATGATTAGATCAGAAGAATTCATTTTTCGACTTAATATTAGTTCACATGAAACTGCATGGAATTCTGTCAGCCAGTGAAGTATAAATGCTAGCTCCTTGTTTTGTTCCTCATTCTTGAAAAATTCTCACAATCAGACAAGGTCTTTCTGTTCTTGCTGCTGCTTTGCAAATCCATTTGTTGACAATACAAGGAAGGTAAGCTATTTGCTTCTTGTTGCCAAGGCTTTGTAAGTTCTGATCACAACATTAATGCTGTGCAGATCTTGAAAGGGATCCAATCCTTTGAAATATTTTTTTGTGAAGAGCCAAAGCACAGCCCTCTAATCAGAGATCAGAGTAGCAGGCAAGCAAGGCAGACTCCAAATGAAGGAATTCACCATATTGAAGCAACAAGATGCATTTTTGTGAAGCAAAACCACTCAATATGCTCAATAAGTTATCCTCCATTTTTTTGATAAGATGTGTTAGTTTTTTTCTCCTTTTTGAATAAGGACAGCCATTGCCAAGGTCTTTGAAGTCTTTTGAGAGCGTTTTAACAAACTGCATCTGCACTGTTTGGTTTGGTGGCAGCTGTGCCTCAGACAGAAAGCCCATACAAAGAGTGGTAAGGACAACCAAGAAGATTATAGGAAGCTAGCTTCCTGTTATTTGGATATGCGCTATGTGCTTACAGCTCAAGGTATTGTTAGAGGCCCCACACATCCACTTTCCGATCTGTTTCTGTTCCTCTCCTCTGGGAGGAGGTTTCAAAGTATTTCTAGCAGGGCTACCAGATTCTGTAACAACTTTGTTCCCTATGCCATCCATCTGGTAAACTCGCAAGATTCGTTTTTCTCACCATGTATATGTATCAGGGGTGGGTTCTACCTATCTTTACTACCGGTTTGCAATGGGAGTGCATGCATGCGCGTGCTTTGTGCTCATGCACACATGCTCTTCTGTGCATGCGCAGATCACCCATGATTACGTCGTGGCAGGTGGGCAGAGCCTCCCGCCAGTTTTACTACTGGTTCTATAGAACCGGACTGAACTGGGAGCAACCCACCACTGATATGTATACATCCAAACTAGACTGTGTTGTTTCTCTGTGTCATATAATAGATGTGGATATATGCATAATTTTGTATTTATTGTTTGTTTTGTCATGTTTATGTAGTGTATATTGGATGTGGTGACCCTTTGAGAACTGTATGCAATGAAATTTCATTTTAATGCATGCCAATAAATGTACATTCAAAGTAACAATAAAGTTATTCTAAGTTTTAAGTTCTTTGATTATTTGTGTTTTTTAAGTGTGCTACCATGAACAAATCACTGTCTGATTGCCTTTTAGCTGACTGGTATCACCCTTGTTTGCAGGGACATAAACCCTTTTTAATCCAGCCACTCTAGACAGTTGAATGAACCCAATAAATTTTCAGATAGATCTTGGATTTTTTATTTATTTTATTTTGTTTGTTTGTTTGGGGGTTAGGTGGGTAGTTTAGTGGAAGCCAGATCACCTTGGGTGGAAGCTTCAACTGATCCAGACTCCAGCAGTGTAGGCAGTGATGAACATTCCTAAGTATTCCATGTAACAGCCCTTCTTCCTGAACTGTACTAATTGATAGGTTGCTTCTGGGTATGATGCAAGGTGCTGATTGTTATTTCTAAAGCCTTTCATGGGGTAGGCTCTGGGCCAGGTTATCTTCGAGACCGCCTTCTGCCGCATAGCTCCCAGCGACCGGTAAGATCCCACAGAGTTGGTTTCCTCCGGGTCCCATCAGCTAAACAATGCCGGCTGGCGGGCCCGTGGGGGAGGGCCTTCTCTGTGGCTGCCCCAGCTCTCTAGAACCAGTTACCTCCTGAGGTCCGGACCATCCCCACCCGTTTGGCCTTCCGAAAAGCGGTGAAGACCTGGCTCTTCCAGCAGGCCTGGGGCCGTTGATCTCGCTCTTGTAATCTGGCGAGATCCAGCCATGAATGGTGTGAATGAGTTTTTAATGTTTTTAATTTTTCAATTTTTTTTTTATAATGGTTTTTTTAAAATGTATTGTGAGCCACCCGGAGTCTTCGGAGAGGGGCGGCATATAAATTAAATTAAATTAAATTAAATTAAATTAAATTAAATTAAATTATTTGAAGGACTACTTTTCCCCCATTGCATCTACCCAGCTGATTCAATCTGGCAGTATTTGTGCGATGCAGGATCCTTCAATTCAACAGTACTATCTGTTGGGACCCTGGAAGTGTACTTTCCCTGTAGCAGTGTCTGCTGTCTGGAATGAGGTTTCCCCTAAGATCCAGGTGGCCCCCCCCATGCTGACTTTTGAATAGCCTTGAAGACCTGGCCTTAAAATCACCCTTTAGTGAGAGTGGTTGAAGCCCCATTCTGGGTAATGTGAGTCAGTTGTTCATTATAGCTCAGTTTTCTTCTCCTATCTTTTTCTCCTTGTTTTATTTTATTTTTATTTATTTATTTGCATAGTTTTTGTTTGTTGTTTTCTTATGAGCCACCCAGTGATGCTGGGAGTTGGGTGTTGTACAATTTAAATTTTAGCAAAATAAAATATTTCTGACTCCATTATATAATGAGCCACCGGGCACAGTGGTTAGAATGCAGTACTGCAGGCTACTTCTGCTGCCTGCCGGCTGCCTACAATTTGGCAATTCAAATCTCACCAGGCTCAAGGTTGACTCAGCCTTCCATCCTTCTGAGGTGGGTAAAATGAGGACCCAGATTGTTGGGGGAAATATGCTGACTCTGTAAACCACTTAGAAAGGGCTGTAAAGCGGTATATAAGTCTAAGTGCTATTGCTATTCCCTGTAACTTTTTTTCTCTTCTCTAGGCATTATGTTGCTCTTCTGAACTTCTCAGGCCTTCAGACCAGGTTGTAGAAAAAATGTTGTTAAAAGAAAAAAAAAAAGCCGCTGCCGATCAGGCAACTCAGCTGGGATCATCAGAGGCTTTTAAAAGTATTTTTTTACAACCTCTTTGGCCGAAGAGGTTGTAGAAAAAATGATTTTAAAAGTAAAAAAAAGAAGTTGGCCATGCCCACCCCCACCAAGCCATGCCCACAGAACCGGTAGTAACAAATTTTACATTTCACCACTGCTCCAGACTTGTTTTATAGCATAACAGGATGAGATACTTCAAAGTGAATGCTTTTCCTCTTTTTTTTTCCTGATATAATGCCTTGGATACCATTCACCTTTCTTTGAATATCTGGGGTAGATTTTTGTCAGAAATGGAGCACTGAACTCTGTCTATAAAACGTGCATCCATTTTGCTTACTTGCAATCATGTGATTTACTATTTGATCTTATACGTTATTATTTTCTCTAATAGGCATCTGAGGCAGCTAGCCATTTTTTTTAAAAAAAAACATAAACAGTTAAAAAGACTCAAAAAGCAGGAAAGATGAACATTAGAGAACAGTCCTGATAACATTAGAGAGGTATTTAAATTTAATCTCTGTCATGGAGATTGGCAGAGGAACTGCACAATCCTATACTCATCTTTCAGAACATGGATTTCCTAACGAATAAAGAATAGTATTAATATATTTGCCAGCCTGTCATTGGTCTCCTATTCAGGGAGTTATAGTCCCAGCATTTCTTGGGGCACCAGATTGGGGGAAGCTGAATGAGAACATTAATTTAATGTTGGAACATTAACATTAATTTAACTGACATGTTGGAAGAAAAATCAAGTTCTGCAAAGGCATCACTTTGCAAGTTTACAAGTCTCCATATCTTCTTAGGAGGGCTTTTGGAAAAGAAATAGAGTCAATGACTAATTAATATGATGAAGACATATGTCCAACACAACATAGTCATCTTACTGGAAGTGGCACCAATACTGTCTCTCTGTCTTTTAAACACTTATTTCTGGTTCTCCATGAAATTGATAGTTAATCACCTTTCAAGCATACAGCAGGCACTTATTGCACAGGGGAAACATGGATAATGGAAAGTTTATAAAATCTCTGTCAATCTCGGCTCTTTGTGAAAAATGATTCATTATAATGGGCCACAAGTGACAGAATGCCTCAGAATGGAAGCCTGTAATTAACTTTACTTCATGTTTTATTGATAGCATTTGCTGTTTTCTGCGACCAGCAGTCATACATCTTGTAGAATGTGGCACCTTCTGGATATAGGCTGCACTTGAGCAAACTTTTCATGAAAGAAGCCTCACCAAATTCTCTGGAATGGCTAAACTTCTCAGTAGAGTGGCAGTACCAATGGGTACTCAGCAGTACCAATGGCTTGATAAGACATATGCAGCCTAAAACTGAAGCAAGCATCTTTGGTAGATGGGGAGGTTAGGAGTTAATAGCTAATTTAAGTTATTCATTAATCCTTCTTGTTATGTATATAGTTTTGGTGGGAAGTTTAAATGGTAATTGGTGAATTGTGATTGGTCAGCTCCCTGGCCGGCAAGGTATATAAAGGGAGCTGCATTACTGTAACTTTTGCTGAAGTCTCACACTGAATTAAAGAGCTGTTCTTACTGAAGACCTTGCTTCTGCCTCTTCAATCACCCAACTTAACATTGGCGATGCGGGTGGGATTGAGGCGAATGAGAAGCAAGCTGAAAAAGAGCTAACAACGACAGATTCAGCCAGGCGGGCAAGCTCGGTACCAAGAGAGACCATCATGATGACTGCTTTTGTACCACCAATGCCTTTCGACCCAGCCAGAGAGAAGTGGGGGTCGTACATGGCTCGGTTCAAATGCTTCCTGGAGGCCAGCGACCTACAAGTCCTCTCCGACAACAGGAAACGAGCCCTGTTCCTGAGCCACTATGGACCGGAGGTCTTCGACATGGCTGAGTCACTATTGGAGCCAATCCCGGTCCAAGCGGTATTGTGGCAGGCCTTGCAAGCCTCGCTGAAGGCTCACTATGCCCCGGTACCATCAAAATTCGTCCAGAGGTACGAGTTCCGGCAATGGCTGCAGCAAGAAGGCGAACCGATCAGCGCTTACATGGCCGCCCTGCGCAGGGCAGCGACACACTGTGAGTACCAAGACCTCAATGATGTGCTCCTAGAGCAACTAATCTGTGGCAT